TTTGCAGTTTATTCTTGGTGCTCCCACCTATGATGACCAAAACCCACCTCAATAGTGTTGCAATGATTACAAGTTGCATGATTGACCCTCTTTATTGTAAATGAACTCTAGAAGCTTTCAAAAACAAATATATACTATATTTATATGTACATGTATACATATGTATGTATGTATGTATGTATGTATGTATGGCACACATGAAATGAGCATATTAATCAACATGTGATTCTTCAAGAAAGGTTTGATTTTGATTTTTATCAAACATCACAAGATTCAATGAAAAATCTTTGTAATTTTGGGTACTCACTTTAACTGTAAACATCTGTTATTTGTGATTTAACATTTTGTATGGAAAGCAAATTTTGAAACTCATATTGACATCTCAAAAAAATAAAAATTGATGATTTTCTTGACCATGTTTCATGGTTTGTTATTTTTCTTCTTGTTCTTATTCTTGTTTATTTCATTCATTGGTTGTAAACACATGAATATTAAGCAAAATTGTTGATCAAATAAGTTTTTAAAACATTTATTCACACAATTTTCAAGCAGAAACTTTTATTTACAACAAATTTGATCCTCTGATTTCTCTGTAGCCCTTTCAACATGCTTTACTGAGTTATTTCCTACGTATCTTCCCTTGTGCAGCATAGGCTGCCCATGTGGTGGTGCAATGCCCAACAAGTTAGATGACATAGGCCCCTTCTTTATAGTCAAATCATGGTGTTGTATTCGAATAAAAAGGAATTTTTCTCCTATTTGTGAATGATAAAATTGGCAATTGTGTACTCATGAGGATGTTGATCCTTCAGTTGAATTAGATGGCAATCCCATATTGAGCTACATGTCAAGCAATATGACTTCACATGCTTCACCAAAGTTGGGGCACTTCTACCTGTTTCATTCTTTTTAAAGTAGAAAATTAAATGCTTGATATGTGTTTTAAACATGCAGCTTGTTACAGAAGATCCCCATTGGGTTTCTCATACTAAAGTATTGCTCAAGCAATTGTAATTATAATAGTTTTGAAGCAATAGAAGTTTGGTTCCACTTGTGTAGATCTTGTTTTCAAATACATCTTTCAAAAGAATAAGGAATTACCATTTATTTTATTTGGTACCCCTTGAATCTTCTGTTGAGTTGGGTCAAAATTTAGCAATTATCAATACAAAAACAAGGCTGTGGGAATCCTTGCTGTAACAATTGTGTGAAATTCATTTGAATTCTTAAGAAATAAGCTTCTAAAAGAATTAAGGCAAGAAAATTTATATTGTGTAGAATAAAAGGGACAAATTGGATAACTGAAATAAGTACTTGAAGAATAGAGAAAAAACCAGAAATATTGTAATAACCCACAAACATGAGATAATAGACATGATTAATCTTATTATGTGGATTGCATAAAGTAGTAGTATAATGGTAAATGACATTTTATTTGCTCGAGGTGTTTCAGAAAAAACGTAGCACTGCTACAAGTATAAGCTGTTTCTAATTCCACTGAACAGAAAAAGACATATATATATTCTCATATATACATAGATGTTCTATAGTGAACATAATTAAATCCTTTTTCTTACACAAAATATGAGAATTTATATTAAGAACTAAATTCTTAAAATAATTTTTTTTTTGTAATCACAAAAATCTGAAATATTTTGGAACGGAAGTACACACCATCATGGTAAGGACTTTTCGAGACCTTTTTTGAGTATTCCTTGACAACATTTATTGTGCAAGGGATGGCTTGAAAAATAGTTTTTGAAATTTTCTTATGTAATTTGATGCTCTCCAATGGATTTGTGTTCTCCCGATACTTTTATACCAAAACTGTCCAAGGTTTCAAAGTTGATGGTTACATGCAAACCTGTAAAGTATATTTTACTCTGAAATGTGGTTTTGGCGCTAGTTCCATCCAAGGACAATTCCCGAGGATCCTCCACAAAACTATCTTATTCTTCACTTTGTAAAAAGTCGAATCTTCGAGAGAATTTTACATTTCCATTTATGGTAGGATTTGAAAGTCTATTTTAAAACCCGTTTTACTCCTTCAATACCACTTATATGAAGGATCAGAATGAATCAACACGTCATGTTGCTAACATCATCAGAACCATTCAATTTGCGGTGGATATTTCTAACTCAAACCGATTTTCTTGTGAGCATGTGTGTTCTTTAGCAGGCCCATCTTAGGCTTACCCTTCTACATCTGAACAGAGACCGTGCTCTGGAACCCACCGGATGTAAAGATGCATGTGAGCAATCCTTGCGATTAGGATCCATATCGCTGTGTCTGATCATAGACAAGAATCACGTTGCGCTGGTCACGCACCACCGTCGCCGTGATGGTCCACAACGCAGCAGGCGTGTACCAAGTTGTGAAGTAGATCCATATCGCTTCTGACAATGTACTGGGAGTCCCTGTGAATGCAGTGCTTCTATTACAGACCGCGCGAGGTCGGCTCACAATCGACTCCTGCAGGTGGCCCATTGTCTCCCGTTGCGGCTTGTTCCACCACACTAGAACTGCCTGCACGCCGAGACTTTCTTCACTCCATCTAACACAAGCTCAGACATGAGGCTCATCGCATGGGGTTTAGGAGGTGTCGCAGCGAGCACACCAGTGCAGTAATCACCTGCAATGGCAATGCAGCCAAGACGAGAGATGTCCTTGATTGAACCCAGTTAATTGACAGGCCGTGACTGCAGATTCAGCAACAGCTAGTTCAGCGCGGAGAGGAAATGATGAGTCCCTTCAGTGCCGCTGTTGAACCTTGAGACTGTCACCATGCTCTTTTTCAATCTGGGACCCCACAAAGCTGCTGCCAAAAGTCGCTAATCTGTCAGGCGGGTCACCAGCACATGAAGTAATCGTTGCTGGAACCGACAATCGGGGGCAACACGGTTCAAATGTATGTCGAAAGCGAGGATTCGGGAACCAGACATCGACGCCCACAATCCTTCTAACTTATCAGTCGGTGTGATATATACGCACATACATTCACACACATGCACCACATTAATATGTCAACTACGGTCGTAGATTGGTTTTATTTTATCTTATTTAACCACCAAAGTGGACTCAAAACTAATGCAAACAATATGTTTCTGAAGCCTCCTGGTTACGCATTGCAATGTTGTTGCAGAAATGTTGAAGATGCTAATTCTTTTGTATTTAACTACGTTTCAGTTTGAAAACAAAACTATCAAGTATAAAGATTCTCCTCATTGTGGAATTGAAGAATATAAATTTAATTTTAAAAACTAAATTTCTAATGCTGATTTGTATCTAACTCTTTCTTTCTTTCTTTCTTTCTTTTTTTTTTTTTTTTTTTTTTTTTTGCATAGAAATTATCATGGTCATTGCAGTTTTTTACGCACAATACTAATATCATAATTTCTATTTAATGTTGTTGAATAGATTTGATTAGTGTTTTTTTAGTTTTTTGAAAAAAAATTCAAGATCTAGAATATTACTTATCTATGAATATATAAAGTTGTCAAAGTCATCTTTATGAAGAATATTTTGATCAGTATTTTTTGTTGCAGATAATTTCATTTCAATAATATATTTGTGTTGAATTTTTTAATTTATAGAATAATTATTCATGTTTAAACCAAATGATCTCAAAGTGAAATTTTTATTGTAATTCCAATAACCATAATTTTTTATAAAATTTAATGTGCAGAACTATTTAATATAATTATTGTAGTAATAAAATTATGCATTTTAATAACTTATATTCTATTTTTTAATAACATAACATTGTCTTTTAAATATGAGGAAACTATGTATAGTTATTTATGAAAAATATTAGAGAATAAGACTATAAATTATGCTTCATACAATTAAATTTTGAATTAAGATATTTAACTATTTGATGGTAACAAATCAAAAATAGTTTTATAACTTTTTTATTTTTATAAAGAGGTAACAAATCCTATTTATACTTGTGATTATTAAATCTTCAAGAAAATGCATGACATACACAGTCATCAAGCATAGAATAAATCCTACTATAAAACATTGTTAAATGCAATTATTTTCTTAGAATTTGTGACACACGGTTAATATAACTTGTAATTTTAGATTATATTATCATCTTTTAATATGTCTTAAATATCTCAAAAGTATTAATAAATTTATGATTTTTCAAATTTGTACTTAATAAACATATAAATGAGTTTAAAAAAAATTAAGACACATGTGTTTTAATTCAATAAAGTGAGAGATTGTTATTTTTTTCCAAAAATAAATGTTTAGCCCAAAAAAATTACCAACTAGATGAAATCCAAAGTATGGAAATCCTTGATGAAAGTATGTATTTAAGTTTCAAAAAATAATTTAAAGATTTATTTAGTAGATATAGTATTAATCGTCTTTAATATTTTGGAAGTAGTAAGTACATAAAATTTGCATAAATAAAACTTAAAATCTATCTCAACAAAATTAAAGGAAAAAAAACAGTATTCAACTTTAAAATTGTAAAATCAACTAATAATCACTACTTGATGATTTGAATTTATGATCCCACAAATTAATCAAAGAATAATTAAATTAAAGTTAAGTTTGCATTGTGGTATATTTTATTTTTAAATAGTATCTCAGTGCCTTGAAGTACTAGTGCTCGTAAAACATTGTTTTACCTAAACATGTAACTAATTTTGAAGTATTTGAAAACAACTCAAGGTTTCAGTGAAATAGTAAAATGGTTGAAACTGGATTGAAAAGAATAATGAAAGATATAATTAGTCATCCTAAAAATCTTATTTAAAAAAGCAAGCAACTTTTCAGGAAGATTAGCATTGCAAAAAGTAAAAGTCACGAGTAACTTTAAACAAACGCTGAATTTTTACGATGTAAATATATTTGTCGACATCGGTAATAGGATGTCAACTTCAGATATTTTAAAAGTGCACTCCCATCACCGTTTTCACCCATCACCGTGGTCGAGTATCCGTGGACAAAATCACAGTCGAAGGCATCATGACGGTCTGTCTTCGCGACGCTGCATCTAGTTGTTGGTGTCCATTGCACCGGATTTCGGAGGTCATATCGACCATATTGTGTCCAATTGTCCGGTTGGCATTTGGTGATGCTGAGTGAGTAACGTAGTGATTTTTTGCGAGGATATGGGCGTGTACACGCGATTGTATGATGCGTTTCCGTGTAGTAATTTTAGGTTCTGTACGAGTTTCGAAATGAGTTTTTTTGAATTGCGGGGTTTAAATTGCGTTTTCTTTGCTTGCTGTGAGGTGTTCTAGCAGATCGATTTGATTCCGCTGTGTCATTGCTCTTGTTTTAGTAGATCGATTGGTGCAAATTTTAATTCTGAGGGAATTTGACCCGGATATGCTCTTAACCATGCTTTAGCTCACACTCGGCGTTTTGGTTTGTCTCAGAGGTCATTCTCAGGTTGTAAGTCTACCTGCGATGGTCAATGCTCGCTTTAAAGGACCGTAGCTTGTTGAACCTCTCCCAGTAGTGTTCTGGTCTTGCTTCTCTCTGATTCCGAGGTCAGAATGAGATCACTTTGTTAGTAGGCAAACTGGTCTTAGGGTTGCCTATCATGAAGTGCATGACACTTTGTGGACTGGATTTGAATTATATTCGCATCACCTGAACAGCATTGAAATGTAACTTTCCTGCTTTAATTCAATAAATACGAGTGGAGGTATCCAAATTTGAACAAACTTATGTGCTGGAAGTAATACACGTGAGTTGGAGTAAAACTCAGAGACAGTTTTCCAGAAACTTGTCCACAATGCTGTTTAGGCTCATGGTTTCATGTACTTCTATGGATTAAAATGCTGAATTGCGGTTGTCCTAGATTGTAATAAACAGAGGTTTGGGTGTTAAATACCGTAAGATGAGAACCTGGACAGATATGAACAGGAAGTTTGTTTCGTTCTTCGCGTGTTTACTCTTGGAGGATGGGGATCATAAATTCAACGTTGGATGGTTTCATGTCTGGATTGGTCGATTGGACCGGGTTCTTTGAAATTAAACCCTCACAATTACCTTACTCTTTTCTTAAACCATTGCCGTAGTTTCATGTTAATCTGCAATTGATCCAACTTCTAATGTACATCATAATGGTGCTCGCGTACATGAATCATTCTGTTCAATGTACATGTATGGGAATGATACTGAGTATACAACCACGTAGTCCTGATTCATTTGTCAATGATCTGAGAATTCTAGTGTTCTGTATTGCAACCTTCTCAGCTAAGGAGATTAAAGGGTCGTTTGCGACTCGATACAATCGCCTGATTATATTAAGGCTACTATACATTTGCTTCTTCTTTCGAAGGTGGAAAGAATTGAGCTGTTCGAGAACCCCGATTGCATCTACTGCAATTAGTGAATGAAATAGTTGGTCGCAGGGCTTTGTGGTGGAAAGAATGAAGATAGAATCGATGCTCTGTATGTGCTTGATAAGAAGAACATCATCTGGTGATTGACGTTGGAGTTAACTCCTATTCAATAGGTTCGCCAGTTGGCTTTGACAACCAGGTTGTGGTTTTCGTGCTCTATGATTGGAATATTGGTCAGTTCTGATCTAAATGGACTCGTGTATTACCTGTTGCAGTTTTTTACATCAAACGCGGTCATTAACATCCATAAATACACCACCGTTTGATGAGAGGGGTATGGTACTAGAAAGTGCACCAGCACAAACAAACTTAAAGTACAATTTGACAAGAGTCGCCTTGTGAATCTCAGTGAGCACGTCCTATTGGCTTTCCAGCTGCTCAGGTTTACACATGGCCAAAATTTGATCATGCGTTAAGGTATCATTTCAAGTTTGACTTGGTCGTTTTGAAAAGATGCTTCAACATATGCAGTCATTGGTGGCCAAGTGTATAGTAATGTTAATGCCTTGTTCTTATTTGGTGGCTGAAATTAAAATGGCTACTGGTGGGTAACTTCTTGTTATTCTTCATATCTCTGAATTACAGAGAAGTCTGTAGAGTTCTTGTTTCACTTTGGTGCTTCGATCGGTTGGCTTTCTTGCTACAGAAAATCCCCCTCTGATCTGCCATTCTTTTTGAATTCTGGCTGGTAAGTCCACTGGTTCGAGAACTGATCGGTTGGTGTTAAGACAAGCCCGTATTTGGTTTCAGGTAAACATTCAGATGGTTTGCCAAGACATAGATGTAGGAGCTCTCAACGAATAATTATTCACTTAATTGTTCAAGAATAATCACTTGCTGCGTAATAGTTTTTTAGGCAAGACTTCCATCAATTTCGAATACTTGGTTAGTCTCAAATAATCAGTTGGAAATAGCTTCTGTAATCTTAGGCAATGACCAATCATGCTATGGATGTTGTGTGACCGTTAAGCTCTGTTCTGGACCTTAGGAAGCCAAGCTTATATCGTGACCTTCAAGGTACATGTTTTAGTGCTGACTTTGTTAGAATTAACCTGCCTCCGATGTAGTTCGACTAGGGCTGACGTGCCATTAGGTCAGGATGATTATAGTGTAACCACTAGTATAACTTCGAGACTCTCCGATGTCTCGATTTTCTGTGTAAGAGTTCCTACTCAGTATCGCCGCGAGTTGCCGGTGCTATAATCCAATTACGATTCCTTTAGAATTTGGAGGTTCTGAACCATTTCTTGCTCTCAAGCTCTTGCTCTTCTATTTTATCTAGGAATTGTAATCCATCTCATTTGCTTGCCTCCAGAGCTGTATGCTAACTGCCCATAGAAGCTCTTAACTTTGCATGCTTCTGTGTATGTGTGGAGCAGTTCTCAGAGGCATGTATGTTGATTTTTTTTTTTTTTTTTTTTTTTTTTTTTTTTTTTTCCTATTTCCGTGCTCCAAATGCATCTGTTGAAATAATTTTAAGATTCAATGATCTAATTGGATGTTTGTGTAGTGCTTCTGTCACTTATTCTCCACTGAATACTGCAAGGATGGTTTATTGCCTTGGAAGGTCAGTTTAACTGTAAATTTCTGTTATTTATACTTGTGGTAGTGAATGTGTGTATGTAGATGCTCCAAGAAGAAGATTCTGGGGCCAGTTTCTATATGAACTCATCCCCCAATCCATGAGTAAGCTGCAGTTTTTGCCACCATAGGAGTAGCTTTTAGGCAGGAAAGAAAACAAATGTAATGCCAGTAAATTCTTTGTAGAGCTTTCTGACACTTTGTGCAAGACATCATGACAGTCTTGATGTGTAGGTTTATATGAGGCACTTAAGGGGAGAAAGAGTGTTGTTTTTACTAAATGCAAATGCATGCCTGTTGATATTTCATGGCAGGTATGTTTCTTACTGGCTTGTTTGAGCTGCTCCATCTCACATGCTTCCCTTTCAGGTGATTATACAATGATCAATATATGAGAACAGTTTCAGTGTAAAATTTGTGGACTTTAGTACATAACCATGCAGAGAATAGCATAGTGAGACTTGTAGGAATTTAAAGATATACTTGAAAATTCACACTTTAATCTACCTAGGATGAATATTCTATGCTAGCATGTGAACTCACACTATGGTTTTCCTACTTAATTACATGACTCTTCCTGTATGTTGCATTATGAAGTTAATCTTTCCTGTCAATGAGAATTTTTAAGTGTCTTAATAAGGACTATGAAACCCTTTCAACTTTTATAGTCTGAATATGATATATACGAGTCATTATTTCAATAGTTTGTATGGCATTGAATTTGTTTTCCATTTATCTGCATGTCCAGCCATTGGCAGTTATCTAGCTTAGTTTTATTTCAATGAGAACCTGTTATCTTTGTTTTATTTGAAAATTCTTATAATTGGCAGTCCAAGTTTGAGTTTGCAGGCTGCTTTGGCTGCAAAGAACGTGTATGGCACTCAAAATTACGTATGACTGGGCAGTTAATCTACATAGCATTGACAATCCAGTCTAGGGTGCAGGCCTTAGCTCAGGTATGTCATTTTCATAATATTTTCTGACTACTTTCTGATATCAAGTGAAATATAGAGTTGACAAACAAAGAAGTCGACAGAAGGTAAAGAGTGCTTCTGCTAGTTGGGTTTAGGCGTCTTTCTCTCTCGCTTAGTAGAGGGTGATCTTTTTAAGACGGTTCAGTCGAAAGCTAGTGCTTTTTCTTTCTCGTTATTCGAAACATGTGTATATTATCTATTATTTAGGCCTTTATAATCTCGGTTCAGTGGCTTTTTTTTAGGCCTCATTAGAATGCCACTGTCCTGACGATGACTACAGTACCTCCTGCAGTTATTTCATGCAGACCAGCAATGACGTATCTTTTGTGTCTCTCCAAGGTCTGAAGTTTTTTGATCTAATAACTTTTGCTAACGTACTCAATTTGAACGAGTTCCCATGTAAGCAGATTAACTCTGTCTAACAAGCACTGTGATACCTAATCCGTGGAGGTTACTGATAAAGAAATCGCCAACTGTGGAAGGTGACTTTCGAACAGTAGCACCAGGTCAGAAGGTTTCTGTAGACTTGGCATGGGGTTTGTGTCACATATCATAACTCTTATCACCCTGTCTTTAAAGATTATTCCCACCTAGGAGAAGATAAATATTCGAAATTGGAGTTCATCCAAATAAAGAGAATAAGTAGGTTTGAAATTTTTTAACGTGTTAGCTGTAAAATGGTAGCCTAAAGAAATGCAAAGGAAAAATATCTATCTTGATTTGGAATAATAGACAATAGTAGGCATAGGAAAGGAGTCAACAGAAGGAGTTGAATTAGTCAATTGTGGAATAACAGATCAAGAGAAAGAACAAAAGTAACAAAGGGTCTTAAAATAAGATTGTAGAGTGGAATGCAATATCAAGTTTTGCAGGTTGGCCATTGGGATTTAAATTCAAATATTTTTGAAAGCAACATCCAACCTCATGTATGTAGGACGACATTTGTAAGTAATATTTTTCCACCAAGAAATTTATATATATATTCAAAAAAAAGGTTTTGTTTGTATGTTTATTACTTACCTTTGTTTGTATACTACTTTTGAGGATAGCTGTAGTAAGTAGGTAATAAGATGGCAAAGAAGTTTTTGTTCTTCATTTGTCTTGTGAATGGTAAACTATGAGTAATATTGATCCATAAGACCTAATTTAAAGGCAATTTAGAAAGATTACTTGTGCTTTTAGATATGTTCTATTTTTTGTAAAATTATAGATTTTTAAAAAAATTTCTTAAAATTAAAGCATTATGTAAAAGATTAATTAGTAGTTTTTGAAAATTTAAGGTGAAGATTTCTCTACTAATAGGTGATTAAATCATTTACCACAATTAATATTTAATAAGAATGGTGATTTTTATTGTTATTAATTAAATTATATCAAATCATAAAAAATTAAAATTAAAGATTAATATAAAAAATTAATAGAAAAGAATCAAAAGAGGTTGATTAACTAAATTGAGATATTTAAGAATTTTTATTTCTTAATAAATATTAAACTAATTAGCAATGGATTAGCAAACTAAATTAGAATTTTTTATATTAAAATTTTAAAATCATAAAAACTATTAGCATAAGGAAACCATAAATTTTATATAAAAAAAATTTAGAATAAAAAATAAATAGATGAAATTGAAGAAAATTTAATATATAGATTTATTTATATTATTACTAATATCACATTCGTACTTAAAAGAAGAAAAAAATTTATTTTTATAATAAATGCAAAGATTAAGCCATTGAAATTAAATCTAAGTTCTAATTATATAAGATCTAATTTAGTAGAATGTTTTATAAAATCACTTTAGAATGTTAAAAATTAACTTATAAATCAAAAATTAAAAAAAGACTAAATCATCTTCTTTAAGAATCATTAATAATAATTACATCTATGTAATTAAACTGTCCAGTAAATATAATATTCATATTGATATAAAGAGTATCAATTCAATATGTAGGAATTAGAATAAACATCATATGAAGATTGAGCTACTAATGACTATATCAAATTATAAATTTTTTTGAAGTATATTCAAGTTGTAGAATTAATCCAATGGATATTTAAACTACAAGTCTCAATCCACAAAATATTGAAATTTATGTTGTAAATATATACTTATGTCATAACACAAAATTTTAAGAAAATACCAATTGTATATGTTGAAGACTAATTTAATGGTTTTTTTTTGTTAGTTGTTAGTTTATATAGAAAATAATATATATAGAAAATAATATATATATATATATATATATATATATATATAAGTATTTTATATTTTAGTATTATAAGAATAAAGATATTTTTAAATAAAATTAAATATTTTATAAGTATTTTTTAAATATATATATATTAAAATTAGAGAATAATATTTATATTCAAATTAGATCAAGTATAAATTTGATTTAAATAAAAATAATTGACAAATAACTTGTGGTCTTAAAATTACATAGTTGCATTGACAAATGATACAAGATTAAAATGGACCAATCCAATACTTTAAAGCATAAAGTTGGTGAATCAATGTACAATGCTACAAACAACTAGACATATCAATAGACTTGTTGTAAAGCATATTTCAATTTGAATGAGTAATTACTTCCTTAATATTTGTGGAAGAAGTGACTTACATTTCACCTTTTACGAAGCATGATTATAACTTGAGAAGAGATTGAGGGACCATAAAGTTCAACCTTAAAATTAAACTTTTTTAAATATGGTGTTGTCAAGGACATGAATCTTGAAGAAAAAAAACCTCAATACACTCTTGTGTCATTCAAAAAGACTAGAAAATTTCTTAAAGATGATATAGTATTAAACTAAAATAGCTATTGCTAAAGAAAAGATGATTAGAAAGACTTAAAACAAGATTAAGGACTACAAAGGCATTGACAAGAGTGAAGAAGGCTCCACTCTTGCTTCCATATATACTCTTAACTAGGTGTCACGGACATAATCATGTAAGCTAGTAATTACATATACAAATAGGTAGAAGTAAGTAAAAGTAGGTAAAAGTAAGTTAATTCTATAGTATTTAATATGAAAGCTTTCTAGAAGCTTTATAGATGCTGCTTTGACTTCATAGGTGTCTTTAATTGACTTTTTGGATTAGAAACGTGGTCAACAAGTTGGCCATGTGCCACACATGTTGTTAGCTTGAAGATCAAGCTAACTATGTGGTCCACATGTAGAAAAACTTGCCTTGTAAGTCAAGGCATGTGTTCTACAAAGTCAACACATATTGGAGGTCCTATAGAACGTCGCCACGTAGCCCCTAGTTAGATAGTATATATAGAGACAAGACTGAAGGCTTCTTCACTCTTATCAACTCCTTTCTTGCTTCCAGTCTAGTTTCAAGGGTCTCTAGTTTTCTTGTCTTTTGGCAATAGCCATTCCAGTTTCTCTTTCAATATACATACTTGTTTATTTATATTTTTTTACCTTTCTTTGAGTGAAGGCTCACTTGTCTGAATTATTTTTTCATCGAGTTCTTGTCCTTGACAGATTGACAAGAGTACACCTACAATATCAGAGCTTTGTCTAATCTTGATTAAGAGTGGATTTACCCCTTTTTTCTTGATAAGATATAAGCATATTAGAAGTTACAGATTACCCTCTTCTAAACTGATATTGTCCTTAGTATTTTCTTTGTTCTCAAGTCCTCTCTTCTATTTGTCTTGAGTGATATTAGACATCTTCTCTCTTCTAAGTATTATTATGGCAAAACTTGTTGAAATGAAGAGTGCAATGGCACAAATGCAAGAGCAATTGAGGGAGTTAATGCTTGCGATGCATCAACTCTATTTATTACCACAAGGAGCAACAAGATTGGCAGGAAGTGAAGATATAGAAATAGTTGGAGCTGCTTCACCATCTGCACCAAACCATGTCTTTTCTCCTATGGTAGAACGCCCTTCAAATGTTAGAGAACCAAGAATTGTCCTACCCGAGAAGTTTGATGGTACCAGATCCAAGTTTCGAGGATTTATCAATTAAGTGCAACTTATGATTGAACTTCAACCCCAAAGCTATCCAATTCCAGGATCACAAGTTAGATTCATTGGTACGCTTCTTTCAGGTTCAGCACTATTGTGGTTTTCATCTTTTCTTGAATGACGAGATCTAATATTGGATAATCTAGAGGCTTTTTTAGTGAAGTTTCGATCCATGTATGGAGAACATGATGCAATTCGTGTTGCAACCAATAAGATCCATATTTTATGACAAGGCAATCGATCAATAATGTTATATGCTTCACAATTTCAACAACTTGCAACTGATATCAAGTGGGATGATGCTGCACTTATTAGTCAATTTTTCTACGGATTATAATATGGGGTAAAAAAAATTAATGCTCAACTTACCTGATCCTCAAACATTGAGTCAAGCAATTGACTTTGCTGTGAAGTGTGACAATCGTCTTTTTGAATTCTGATCTGAGAACCGTACAAGTGGACCTCAACGTTACTATAATTCAATGGCAACACCAACACCTCTTCAACACATACATTCGGAAGTAGAGGATATGCAAATTGATGCAGTACGTTTCAAACCTCTTACTGAGCAAGAAAAGACTCGTCATCGTCAAGAAGGATTATGTTTATATTGTGGAGAACCAAAGTACATTGCTCAGCATTGTCCAAAGAAACGACGCAATCTCAAAATGAGGAGTATGGCTGTGAAAGAAGACAATATGTCAAAAAACGAGTTTGTCCAGCTACAATAGGGACCGTGCGGCTGGAACCTTGCACAACATCTAATAAAGGTCCTATTCTCTCCTCAGAGCCCTCTCCTTGTTTTACATTAAATGTTATTTTAGGATCTAAACATTACAAAGTTTCTACCTTGTTAGATTCAGGAGCCTCAGCGTATTTTTTAGATGAAGAATTTACTAAAAGACATAGCATATTTTTAGTAAAGAAAACTAAACCTGTTCATGTAGAAGTCATAGATGGTCGTCCATTGTCTTCTGGAGATATTACTTACAAAACCCTTCATATAGAAGTAATAATCAATAGTCATAATAGTTTTGTAGTATTTAATATCATTAGATCTCCCTCTAATCCAGTCATTTTAGGTTTATTGTGGTTAGAAAAATACAACCCTCAAATAGATTGGATTTCCCGAACTCTTACTTTCTCTAAAAGTATAACTAACAGTGTAGTTAATCAAGTAGAGAGTCATAAGTCCAGTTCAATTAAATCCATATTTATAGGTGCAAAAGCTTTCTTGCATGCTGCTATGAAAGAATCACCATATATTATTTATGCCACACCCGTTTCTACTAGTGAAAAGACTTCAAGTGGCATTCCAAGCCAATATCAAGAATTTCAAGATGTATT